ATTACAGGCTCCTTATTAGGTTACAGAAGCTAAAATCTTTCAATTTTGCCTCCAGCTGGACTTGAACCATTGACCTTAACTGTGAAGGGTATGGGAGCTTAACCGCTAAGCTATGGGACCCACACTCGTTTAAACTTCTATTATTAAGTATATTTTTCTTATTTATAACTATTGATTTTTCTTTTATTATTATTGTAAGTAAAAATTTTAAAAATTGTAATGATATTCAAGTTACTAAAAATATTAATGTTGTTCTATTGATCTCAGTGTCCATACTGGTTGGTCTTAATATTTTCCATCTAAAGGTTATGATTGGTTTGGTAACTTAGATATCAATCATGTATTCTATTTATCTTTATCTTTGAATAATTTTATTTTTTGGTATGTTGAGTCTTTTTTTTTTGTTTTTTTGTTATACAGATGTTTTATTATTTTCTTGATTATTTACTTATTCTTCTAAAAAATAAAACTCAACAAAAAGAGCTCAGGCTTAACTATGATGTCACATCCAAAATCTTGTTGAAGAGTATTACAAGAAAGTTGTTTACTAATTTTGATGTTATCATTATACTACCTTTTAATGAATCTGCTATGTCTCATTGCCTTAATTGGAAAATCAATTCTAAAATGATTTGCAAAATGCTTACCTGGTCTCATGATCGATTTCGTGAATGTCTTATTTTCAAGGCTAAAGAATTGGATAAAAAAATGATTATCTAGAATGAAGCTTATACAAGCAAAACCTGCAAGTAATCTAGCTGCATATCATTCATTCTTCCTTATCTTTTTTATTACCTCTAATGCCTTATCTGTTATTGTTTTTATTCAGTTGCTGTGGATTTATCAAACACAATTTGGATGGAAGCAAGATGTTCAGATATAATGAATGTGGAGTCGTGATTGATAGAGATTTTAATGGCGCCCGGGGAATTTTTCTCCGGGCTTTGTTTGATGGCGCTGTTTGTATATAATGAACTCACTATATACACGCACTAATTGATTATTTTATAGTAATCAACTATTTGTGTATATTAATGATCGATTCAATCCATCCAAGACGCACATAATACTAAATTACAGGGGTTAACAATATTTAATAGATAATTGCAGTAAATTACAGGGGTTAGCAATATTTAATAGATAATTATTACATTGTGTGCTATTAAAAAGATATTGACTAACTCTAATTAAAATGAATCTTTACATGACGTTTTCTGAAGTAATGAAATAAAGGGAAATTGTAATTGAACATTAAGAATACCGCTCTTCTAAAAACAAAAAAAGCTTGCCTAAATCGGGCTACAAACAATGAAAAAATAAGATAGCCAACCATTTCCTTTCAGCTACACATGTGACAGGTTATTATAATACCCAATGGATTGTATTTCCAGGTTTGGTTAAACACATATCGATATATAAAAATATACAAGTCAGACGACCCGTCAACATCCTCCTGCTTCAATACCCATTTCACCTGTTATTTTAGCTCAGTAAATCTGTGATATAATAAAATGTCTACAGAGTCAGATCGCTCAGAAGCTCGCAACATGCAACCTCAAAACCACCTAAGTTCCAATGAAGATATAAGTGACACCGGAATAATAGAAGAGATAAGCTCAGCTCCACCAACTTATGAGGAAGCCGTAACATCTCGAGATTTAGAGGATAATATACCGTCTACTTCATTCTCTTCATTCTCTCGTTCAGCTGCTGCTAATTTACATGCCATAGAAGAAATGTTTTCTTCAAATCATTCAACTAGTGAACGACATCCCTTACTTAATAATAAAAACAATGGTCCCTATAACTTATTTGGGAGGCCGTATGGCGGTTCAGTGAATCAATCCACTTCGTCTAATCAATACATGACATTCCCTTTACCACGCGGCTCATACATAAACAATTACGAATTTGATTACGAAGTGTTACAAGGTGGTGTTGTGTCGTGTGATCCACAATTAAGCAGAGACTCTGATTCATTATACAGATTTTTTAACGAGCATAATGACAAACCTGAAATGGCTATTATAATTTATGGTAATTCTTTAATAATATTAATTCCTACATAAATTAGAGTGGGGTAATAAGCAAAGTATTTTATTCTGGTGAATTACTATGTTTACAATGTTTATATAAGGTTGTCTTTTTATATTATCATAATAATTCGTCATAATGTTGTTCGACATATTACCCCTCTTTTTTTTTGTACTATAATCACTAATAATGATTATTTACAGGATATCATACACGGAAAGGTGGTAATAATAGGAAGAATACTGAAATAACGGATTTTAGATTTACTTTGGATTTAACAGAATTCGTATCATCTGTCGGAGAAATGCGTACTTATCCAAATGAAAATAGACCGGATATGAGTTTTACGGAAGTCTTGGAAGATTATGTTCATCGTGATAGCGTTCTTAAATCTATCGAAATGCACAAGGTTTATATATGATCATCAATTATTTTAATTTCACATCAATAGTTATTGATTTTTTTTTCCTTTAATAGATTGTGTTCTGGGATTATTCTTATTTAACTCAATCCATAATTTCAATTATTCGTGATCAAGGTTACCAACACGAAATCCGTATCACATATCCACAGCGTAATCAATTGATTCGAGTTCAATCCGATAATGCATTAGCACAATTCTCACGTAGTACTTTTGGACAAGCTTTATGTTGTTGTTCGTGTTTTGGAATTATACATAGGGTTGTAACCCGATTTTACGACAATGCTTATAAAATCAAGTTTAAAAGTGAATTCCAAATGAATATTAGTGCGAGAGAATGGTTTCAAAGAAATAGGAGGATTATTGTTGCGAATGTTAAGTGGCTTTGACGAAAAGTATGAATATAGGGGATGAGATTCTGAGAGAGTGATGAATGTTTTTATTTAATTAGATATCATTACAAATAGACAATAATGTTAAACAGCATTAATTGCTTTTTTATAACTTTGATACAAATACAATAATAAAAATACCAACGTTTTCTAAGTTGACTGTTGATCTTTGTCATCATAACAATAAACCAATATACTTGGATGTAATACCAAGGATAGTAAATGCTATAATTATTAGGTAAGCGTAGGAACATAGTATTGATGAAATAATCAATGCATTAATATTTCTTTGCGTTTCGATCGTATTTACTTGATCCAAAACTATCACTCGCAATTTGTGTTCAATTGCATATATCAGTTCAATTATATTTCTTTATCTGTGTTGAGGCATTCTAATCATATAAAATTCATATGATGGAATGCCTTTTCCCTTGGAAACACTCATTTGTCTTTGTAAAAAATATTATACCTTTTTTATTTTCGAATACTGTAATATTAAAACACCTAAACTTTATACTCCTTAATTTAATTTTACTTTGGTTTAATACGAGTGTATCAGCAGAAACCAAGCAAATTATTTCTAAATTTTTTGAAACTTTGAATTAAAATATCTCAACAACTATCAAATCATGGTTGATAAAATTTTTTATTTTAATTCTATAACTATATAGAATTAAAAAAAAACTTTTTTAAATATAAAGGTGAGGCCATGCCTCTATTTTTATTAAAGAATTAAAATTTATCAAGTTTGGTTTAATAGTTGTTGAGATATTTTAATTCAAAGTTTATTTAGAAATAATTTGTTTTTTTCTACTGACACACAAATATTAACAACTTAACAATACAAAAAATTCAAAACTGCTCAAAATTTCTTATTTACAAGTGCATTTGACCCTTGTTAATGCCAACTTCTCATTAGCAAAAATTGAATTTTGGCTATATATAAATAATTACATATTTAATCTTCATAGATATCAACATAATTATCTAGTTGATACGTATAAATCTAGCAAGGAAACAAACGTTAGTATAAAAGAAAATGAACGTATAACTAAGAATTGAAAAAAGAATCTAGACAAAATCAAGTTAATAAATATCCAATAGGAGTAAGTTTCTTTATATAAATAACAAAAATTAGTAGTTATATTTTTCAAAATTTTATTAAATTGATTAAATTATATAAAATATAAATATATATATACGTATATATTTAGTGATAATATTACTTCATCTTAATCTATTCCATCTCCTGCTGTTATTTCTTCTGTCAGGCCGTGAAAGATAAATTCAAAAAAAATAGAATTAATCAGTGGTCGATTTTATCGACTTAGCCGGCTTAGCCAGCCGATTTTATAATGGATTATATAGTAACCGATCAAAATTTAGACCAAATCAAAATCAACGAACATAAAATACTACGTAGTAACGGTAAGGTTCGATAATTTCCGAAGGTTAATCGATTTTGGCTTAGCCGGCTAAGCCGATTTTTAAGTCAAGTCGATAATTTTCTCAGATGACCTATTGATTTTTTATAGAAAAAAATAAAACAGATCATTAAAAAATGATAAAAAAATTTGGTTAATACAAATAAAAGACTAGACTATATAGAAAATCGATTTTTATTGTAATAACTAGTCATATCACAAATAAATTGCATATCTAAGAATATTATGTAGAAATCGATGTGTCAAATAAATTTTTCCTTGAACCGTTTTCGCGTAAATTCTAGATTTCAGAATTTTACAGACAGTAGAATCTGACAATGGGGTCATGTTTAAAATTTCAAGAATTATGTGTAAAAAAAAACGAATATTCGTCCCAAGTTTTTTAATAAATAAAGTTTAAAATATACTAACGGTATAACACTTAATCTTTAATCAAAAACCGATATGTTTAGAACATATGATCATATAAAAAAAATTCGCTCCTCTTAAATCAAAAATGTTGATATCTTGGATTATTTGCAAAGTAATCATACCCAGATAAAAATTTTGTGGTGGCTGATGCTTGCAGTCAAAATTATTTTGACTTGATGGCTGAAGCTGAAATTGGCTAATGCTAATATCTGGACCCATGTAATCAAATTATTTTGGCTTGAAACTATTTCGGCCACATGTATAATCTGGTCCTATTTTTATAAATTTTTTTTGGATATACCGATACACGTGTACCTAAATTGCCCATCTTAATAAAAAAAAGTAATTACGGGATTTAGACAGCCGATATTTGCCGAAATTATTGCCGAACTCTATTTATCAAAATACAACATATACAGTAGTATAATTATTTCGGGCGGTTTTATATAAAAATTTAGCAATGCCGAAATGTTTGCCGAAAATACTTTTTCAAAAAATAATTTAGGCGCACATGTATATTTTTGGGGAATGGTTTTTTCTACGTTGTTTAGGGTTTGCTTAGGATTGAGGGTTATATGTTGGTTTTGGTATGCATTAGCCGCGATATGAATTATTATGAGCATATACCGGGTGTTTCAAAAGTTCCACTAAGCGATCCCTTTTTTTTAAGTGACTTTATACAGTTATCTCTATATATAAAGATACTTTAAAAAAAGGGACCATGTAGTGGAACTTTTGAAACACCCGGTATGTTTTTGTCAGATATGAATGACGGAAGTGGAAAACATGTAAACAACGATTAAGCGTCTAAAGCTGATCATTCTATTCTCTTCGATGTGTTTTGATCAAATTGAAAAAAATACATTTTCTTACAGAAAAATTATATGGCTTGGCGGTTCTTAAAAAATAGTAAATTTGTTCTAGAACTAATCAAATTTTTCAAGGGGCCATACTCGGTAAAGTGAAAGAAAGTTAGCCAATTTACAAGTTTTCCACTGTCTGTCACTCATACACATATATCTTACAAAACCTTATATCATAGTCAAATTCTAAATTTCTTGTGTTTGAATAACTTTACTAGGCTACATAATATTCGGATGTTTTGGAGGATTAATTTATTTGAATATTTTATCAGCTCTGAAAATTGCAATTTAATTTTATTTTCATAATCAAAGCTTAATACTTCGTCTAACCAAATGTTAACATATAACTTGATAAGTCTAGCAGCAGGGCGCTTTCTTGGATTAACATCCATACATCGAGTTGCCAATTCTATATAGCATTCTAGGGTTCCAGTCACATTACAAATTTTTGTAGCAAGTTCTGCATTAAATTTATATCCATCAAAAGGTCTCAGTCCTCTCACATAATTATTCCTAAACTATAGATATCTCCGACTTTTGTAACCGGTTTTCCTTGTAAAATTTCAGGAGCAACATACGGTATGACACCAAAAATCTCATCTTGTTTTGTGTTGGATAATATTGTAAACACTAAGTCAGAAATATACGCGTTGTGAAAAGTTTCCAACAAAATATTTCCACTATGCAAATCTCTATGAATAAATTCTTGAGAATGAATTATTTCAAGATTAGAAGTTATGCAACGAAGTAAGTTTAACTTATCCTTTCATTTCATTTGTGAAATGACGTTGAGATTTTCATGCAAAGATCCCACTTCAGCGTATTCTAAAATGAGAACAATATTCATTCTTTTCATTTTGCGAAATCCCATAGCATTTGAAAACATCGAGATTTTTATACCCGAACTCGGAATAGACCTTTAACTTTAAAATTGTTAGTAATTACTTATAAAAATTATATTCTATTCAAAACAATTACCTCATCTAATAAATTATTGTCGTGAATCATTTAATTGCGACTTTTAATATTGAGTTTTTATTTTGATACCATTTAGTTAAATAAATAGTCGTGAACTCTCCTTTCCCAATCTCATTAACAATTTGTAAATCATATGGAATCCATAATAACGAAGTTCTGATCCCCTTTCGATAACAACGACGAATTTCGCAGATTTTTCATAACATTCAAAAGCTTTATCGTTATTTTTTTCAACACCGATTCCTTTTTCATAACAATATCCAAGTTCGTATATCATTCTTTTCAACTCCGATTTCATTAAGATAACAATATCCAACATTATATGTTCCATTAATGTACCCCATATCTGATGACTTTTGATAATAAATGAATGCTTTTATGTTATCCTTTTCAACTCCGATTCCATTTCGATAACAATATCCAACATCACCTGTTCCCTTAGTGTTTCCCATCTCTGATGACTTTTGATAATAAATGAATGCCATATGTTCATTCGTTTCAACTCCAATTCCATTAAGATAACAATTTCCAACATGGTATGTTCCACTAGCGTTTCCCGTCTCTGTCGATTTTTGATAACAATGAATGCCTTATGTTCATTATTTTCAACTCCAATTCCATATTCATATAATTTTGCAGACTTTAAAAAGGACTTAAAAGCTTTATGTTCATCTTTTGCGACGTTCATACCACTCAAATAATCCAATCCCAAATGGAACAATTCTTTACCTGACATATCCATCTTTACGCTATGAGGAACAGGAATTCTTTTTTTTAAAAAAAATAAATTTTGCACACAATTCATTACATGCTTATTTGAATGCGTTTTAATTTGTTCACGCTTTTAAATACATTATTTTCATACTGTGAAACATCGAGGAAGTGTTATAGAATCTTTCACTTCGTCTCTTCAGCTTCAGCCAATAAAGACTGTACATTTTGTAAGATCTTTTATTTGGCGCTAAAGTCTAATTTGTTAAATATATAATAATTACATAATCACACTTGTTATATTGTTAACTCCGATGGTTGACGTAAGAACCTGATGATAAATTAGGGAAGTCTGATTTTATATAATTAGTAGGTATTATAAAAAAAACCATAGAGAAAATAAGTAATATTAATATAGCAAGAATATGCAACAAAAGTACTATAAGAACAAAGCATCAGAGCATCAGATAATAAACTATGTAATAATAAAATATTAGCAACTTCAAGAATTCTTGCATATAATATTCAAGAAGAAACAAAAGAAGAAAGAAGTGGCATAGTAAAATAATTGCTCAATGTAAATAGTATA